AGAGAAGATCTTGTCTCACTAACCTGTTAGTGTTCTTTGAGGGGGTGAACAAACATGTGGACAAGGGGACCCAATAGATGTTGTTTACCTTCCAGAAAGCTTTTGATAAAGTTCCTCAATAGTCAGGGGATAAAAGGACAAGTCCTCTTGTGGATCAAAAACTGGCTAATTAATAGGAAACAGAGTGTGAGTATAAATGGGCAATTTTCACAGTGGAGGGTGGTAAGCAGTGGGGTACCGCAGGGCTCAGTACTGGGTCCAATGCTTTTTAACTTGTTCATTAATGATTTGGAGTTGGGAGTAAGCAGTGAAGTGGCTAAACTTGCAGATGACACTAAATTGTGGTGAGAACCAGGGAGGATTGTGAGGCACTCCAAAGGGATCTGTCGAGGATGGGGGAGTGGTTCAGTGTGGCAAATGGGGTTCAGTGTGGCCAAGTGCAAAGTGATGCACATTGGGGCCAAAAATCCTAACTATAAATACACATTGATGGGGTCCAAACTGGCAGAGAATGACCAAGAAAGATCTCGGAGTTGTAGTAGATTGCTCACTGAAAATGTCGAGACAGTGTGGGACTGCAATAAAAAAGGCCAACACTATGCTGGGGATTATTAGGAAGGGAATTGAAAACAAATCAGCCAGTATCATAATGCCCCTGTATAAATCGATGGTGTGACCTCATTTGGAATAGTGTGTACAGTTCTGGTCACCACACCTCAGAAAAGATATTACAGAATTTGGAAAAGTGAAGAAAAGGACAACTAGAATGATAAAAGGGTTGAAACACTTTCCCAATGTAGAAAGGTTAAAGCTCTTGGGGCTCTTTAGCTTGGAAAAACAATGATTGAGAGGTGACATGATTGAGGTTTACAAGATTATGCATGGGATAGAGCAGGTAGAGAAAGAAATACTTTCCTCCCTTTCTCACAAGAACTCATGGGCACTCAATGAAATTGCTGGGCAGTTGGGTTAGAATGGATAAAAGGAAGTACTTCTACAAGCATGGACAGCTTCAAGAGGGAATTGGATAAACATATGGAGCAGAGGTCCATCAGTGGCTATAAGCCACAAGGTATAGATAGGAACTCTCAGTATGGGGCAAGTGATGCTCTGTCTTGGTGCTTGTGGGAGCAACAGTGTCCTGGCCCCATTGGTGGACCTGGTATTTTTGGCCACTGTGTGACAGAGTGTTGAACTGGATGGGCCATTGGCCTGATACAACATTGGCTTCTCTTATGTTCTTATCCATTGTCTGTATAAAGCTGTGCTGTAGCTTTCTTGATGGAAAATCTAAATTCTCCCTCATAGTAGTTCTAATATATTTAAGACAACGGGGTCCCTCTTCTTCTCTTTATAAAAGTACTTTTCTGATAATTTCCTGGCAGAAATCACTGACTCCCAAAATCTCTTCCCTTGGAAGCCAAACCCTCTGGCTACTGATCCAAACATTAGATTGCAGACCAAGACCAAAAGGTGAATGAATCTTTCCCGTCCAGATCAGCTATTTTATTTCCTCTCTAAGATGATGCTGGCCAATCAGAGCATGAGTAGAGCAGCCAATCACATAAGCTCTTCTCTCCAGGGAAGATTAACTCTTGTGGTCCCAGACTCTCTGACACAAGCAGCATTTTCAATAGCCTTCTTTTCTATGCAATCTGTCATAACTGTCCATTCATGACCTTAGTATAACTGGCTGGAAGCCTAGGAGCCAGCTCAACTGGGAAAATGAAGGCAGGGCTAACAGGGATAGACACCTCAACTTTTTACTAGCACTTCCTTTTCAGGCTAAGGATCTCCTCACACCTCTAAGGATGAGATGTTGTTTCCCTTAGAACTGTCTTGGCTTCAAAATAAATTGCCTGCAGAAGTGGTAGTGAAATTCACAAAGCAACATCTCAGGGATCAGATTTTAAAAGCAGCTTCGGCAACACCCTTGAAAATTGGAGATCAACCGATAAGAATTTTGAAAGATGTTCCATTTGAAATCAAAATGAAGAGAAAGGAATATAAAGGGTTGACCATGTTCTTACAAAATCATCAGGTGAGTTACAGATGGTTGGTGCCAGAAGGACCGGTCTTTAAATTCAAAGACAGAAGAGAAAAGATAGACTCTATCCTTAAAGCTCAAGACTTTTTTAAGAGGCACGCCAGCTCAGAAGAAGAAGCAGAACTTGCCAAGTGGATGTCGGGAAACAGCGAAGAAGACAGCAGTTCTGAGGGAGAGGTGAAGGATAAGGAAGACAAAGGAGCGACTGGCACAAAGTATAACTTGAGAGATAAAAAAGGGAAAGGCCCCAAGAATTAACTGTTTTGGATTATACTGTAAAAGTAATTCTAACCCCAAAAGGACATTATTAACATATTAACTTTTTTTTTGAAAACTAAAGAAGAAAAAGAAGATCACCTATTCACAGAAAAAAACTTTGACTTGAACTTTAAATTTGAAAAGTTTAATTTACTTAGTTTAATACTTAACATCACTCAACTCTTTATCCCTCTATATTCCCTCCCTATTTTTCTAAGTAAAGTGAAATTCTCTCCTTTTTAGGAGAGGGAAATAAAACTTTAAAATAAAAAATAAATAAAAAAGAACTCTCTTGACTTCCAGTTTCGGCACTCGCCATGGCGCTCGCTTTCTCCCGGACCTCCGGGAAAGGCTGAAGGGTCTCAGACCTCAGTTTAGAAGAGAGATGAATGAAGGGGGACACGACAGAGATTTATAAAATTATGCATGGAGTGGGCAGAGTTGACAAAGAGAACTTTTTATCTCTCTCCCAGAATACTACAACTCAAGGACATTCAATGAAGCTGATAGGCAGTAGATTCAGGAAGAACAAAAGGAAATACTACTTTATACTAATGACTAAAATGTGGGTGTAGTGATGGCTTTAAAAGGGGATTAGACAGATTCATGGAGGATAGGTCAGATTCATGGAGGATCAGTGGCTACTAGCTATGGTGACTGAAGAGAACTTCCACGTTCAGAGGCAGTAAACCTCTGAATACCAGTGCCAAGAGGCAATGTCAAGGGACAGCCTTGGCCTCTATTCTCTGTTGTTGGACCTCCAGAGGAACTGGTTGGCCACCATGTGAGACAGGATGCTGGACTACATGGACCACTGGTCTCATCCAGCAGGGCTCTTCTTATGTTCTTATGTATGGGACAGGGTTGTGTGAGGGGGGAAGTATTTTACAGTTTCGAACAAGGCTTTGAAGCTTGGTCCCTGAGTCTAGTTTTTGTGAAGTCAGAAGGTTAATGTCATAATCTATTTTTTTCTGTTTGCAGAATTAATGCTATATCTGCATAATCTTTTAGGGCACATGCTGTGGTCATAGGGGAGGAGGGTATCCGTTAAAGCTCAGAGTGCATTGATTGCAGAAAATACTTGTCTTATCAATTCACTCTGAAATCATACTTAGCCAAGATTGGATAGACTTAACTAAGGAGAAAACATGGGGTAAATATGCAGTTTTGAAATATCCTTATCAACTAGCTGCTGTTTCAGTTTATTGAAAAGAGCCATCCCTAGCCATTGGCTTAGTCGCTGATGTGTTACAGAATGTCAACAAGCATTCCAAATACTCATAAACTTAAAGTTGTCAGCACACAAGGTCTAGAGGCAGATGGGATAAAATACTGTCACAATATTGATAATTTATCAGACAGGGACTCATTTCAACTGGTTAGCCAGGTGCAGACTTTACTGGGCAGAAAAAGATCTGGCCACTATAGTGAATGCCCTGGTTACATCCAGGTTAGATTACTGTAATACACTCTATATAGGGGTGCCCTTGATACGTATAGAGAACTTCAGTTAGTGCAGAATGATGCCGCTAGGATGTTGACTAGAGTGGGTTGTAGATACCATATCAGTCCAGTCTTGGCCCATCTACACTGGCTCCCAATTTGTTTCCAAGTTTAAGTCAAGGTGCTGTTGTTGACCTTTAAAGCCCTATATGGTTTGGGATCAGCATACCTACTCCTTTATGAACCTGCTCAACTACTACTGAGATTAGGTTGGTGGCAGCCCATGAGTGAGCCTTCTCAGTTGTGGCATGAAAACTCTGGATTTCTCTCCCCAGGGAAAGTCTGCTGCCTGTCTGTTGTCATTTTCCACCAGCAGTTAAGGGGTTTTTTTTTGTTTTGTTTAGCATTCCCTCAGTGATCCCTCCTTTCTTACCAATGTTTGAGTTGTTGTTTTTATGCCTTTATATGTATTTTAGCTCTGTTTTTAATTGTTTTAATGATGTGTGGATTTTTGGTTCATTGTAATGGTTTTTAAATGTGATTTTATTATTATGGTTTTATCTGTTAGCCATCTTGGTGGCCATTGTGAGGGCAAGGATATCAATTTTGTAAAACAAAATAAAAATCAATAACATTTCCAGTACTGCAAAGAGCCATGTTAATTAACTGTGGTATTCATTTGAATACCAGCTACTCCACTAGCTAGGGTTAGTCTGACTCCATTAAACCAAAATCTGACGTTGGTTTAATGTGCAAGTTTAGTCTTAGCTATGGTTTTACATTATGTCCAAATATAGACATTCTATCCTTATTTTGGTTTAATCCTGGCTTCTCTCTGGTGATACTCTCTCATGCAACAGGGAAAATAAAATGAAACCAATATTTATCTAGCCCAACCAGGACTTGAGTGACTTTTTGTGAACTGAATCCTGATTTCATGAACTGACCATGTTTTATCATTAGGTCTGAACTTAGCCTGTGTTTATGTGAATGTTATGTGTATGGGAGTAATATATGAATGACACATTAGAGTACTATATGCTTATATGAATAAGGGGATGAGGAGGAGAAGGACGCGAAAGTACACATTTAAAAATCTACATTGGTTTCCACCTGTACTATCTTTCCCTCCCCAAATCACCTGTTGTGTTTTATAAATGACATGTTTTACTAATTTGAGTAAGTGGTAAAACTATTTTGAATCACTGAACAAAAAGGGGAAAAGGGGGGAAAAAGCTAGAAAGCAACGTACATTTTGTAGTGTCAAATCACTGATGTTAGTTGATAATGCTCTCAGCCAGTCAGCACTCTCCTGGGCTGTACAATACTGAAGTATCCCAGAGCTAACTCCATCAAGTGCCAGTACTTCAAATGCATTAGATCTGCAGCAAGAAGAAATATACACCATCAAGGAAGCTATACCAGCAGTTATTAGCCTTCACTACTTATAAAAAAGCCTTCACAAATTGGTGCTCCTTAGTACTACAGCAATACAGAATCAAATGTCACAGTAGTAGCGCTACAGCATAAGAAGGCATAGGTACTGTACTCTCTTGCTTATTGAATATTACTGTTTTACTTTTCAAAACAGTTTTATGCACACGTACAGCACACTTGGAGCTGAACAATACCAACAAATTACAATGAGCTGGTGGATCAAGAGAGCTGATTTGTGTGGCATACAGAGCTCTACCTAAGCAGAGTTATACCATTCCAAACCCAGTGACTTAGGCCCCGGTCACACGGAAGGCTTTGATCCGTGAGAGGGACAGATCAGGGGCGCAGCAAGTGGGCGCAATCACACCGCAACATCTGGGAAGCGGCACGCACCCATCCCCGATCCGTCTTTTCCGGCTTAAGATGCAGATAACCCCCCCCCCTACAAAACACTACTACTTACTTGAAAATCCGCAGCAGGGGCGGCCGTGGGATTGCTGGCACACCCGTCTCCGGCAGCATGCGAGGCCCCCGGCCAAACTGCACATGCGCGCACATGCGCAGCGGGCTGCCTCCGCTCCCCGGTCTGTGGCCCCCCCCCCCCCGGCATCTGATCATGCCGGGGAGCAACTGCGTGGCAACTCGGGGGATCTGTCTGATCCCACTGCCCCGCGTCTCTTTTGATGCGGCTCAAAAAAGCCGCACTTCAGCCACATGTTTCCCCCCAGTGTGTCCGGGTCCTTAGAAGGGTATAAGGCAGGACTGCACTGAAAACATATAAATTCAGCAGTGAAAAATCTGCTGCCCAGATTTCAGCTCAGCTGCAAACCCACTCAGTGGCCTTAAGCAAGCAGATGCCTCTCAGGCTCAACACTCCCATCTGTAACATGGGGGGATTAAAAACATTGGTCTAATTTGATAGGATTAGTGAGGGATAAAACAGGAAGGGAAAGCAAATGGCCAAAGTGATGACTGAGTGGAACTGGGCTGAATTTCTCCTTGAGACTTCTGTGCCTTATATTGAGGTCAAGAGTTCATCAACACATACCCCAATTTACCACACAACCACAAAACTTCTGAATGAAGGGGAAGTGGGAAATTAAAACTGAACTGCAAAACTGAAGCAAGCCGTTAGTACTACAAAAATGTTAAAACTGAAACATATAATTCCGCTTTCATTCTTGTGGCTCTCATTCCTACTAGTATGATGTTTGCCTGAGGAAATAGGGATTATAATAATGACTGAGAAACATTATACTAGTGTGCAAAGTGGTCCAATCCCACACATCCCATGTATCCCATAAGGCTACAATCCCATACATGCTCATAGGTTTACATGTGAGCAATCCCAATTTGACATCAATGGATTTCCTTTAAATTAAACACACAATGAATTGGGCTACATTTGTCACTTATTTCACCCAGTCATCTCCTTCATTTGTATAATGATATTACCGCCATAACAAATTAAACTGTGGTTGCCTATTAATTTTGCATTGTTGGTAACATCCTACCCATCCACTTATCCTTCACTACAAATTAAACAGAATATTATTTTAGAAAATTAATTAGACGCATAAACTATGCTTCAGGATATTTGTTATTTTGTGATATACTCTTCCGATTGTCTGAAAGTAATATGCTCTCTGTCCAGGGGGACTTTTAAAACCGAGTCCCACAAATGGAAAAGGAAGTGTACTATTACATGAGTAAAAACTGACTATTAAATGCAGGAAGATTGGATGCTTACCAGTTGAAAAGTTTTAGTGGGAACAGCAACCTTTCCAATTTGATAGTATGTCTTCTGTCTGTGAAATGACCAATACTGACTTACGCAAATCAAAACTGGAAAGTTGTTTAGTATTCTGAATGGCTGTGGATTTCTTAACATATAAAATACATATTTTGTGCTCTAACAACTTTCTTAAGTTTTGTCACACAGTTGTTTACTACAGTTTTGTTTAGTACTTTCAATGTACGCTAGGGTTGCCAACCTCCAGGTGGGGCTTGGAAATAGGGTTCCCATTCCCCTGACAGGGGGAGGGGTTTGCCCACTTTTGGGCCCCCCAATCTGCCAGCTCCAATCCAGCCGGTGGGGGAACCCTGCCCTCAAAGTGCCTCATTTGTGCTGACGTGCCAGGCACAATGTCGTCACCTGGAGGTGATGTCATTGTGCAGGGCATGTTGAAGGGAGATGCTCTATTGTTCAGAAAAAACCTCTGTGGTTAACCATAGAGATTTTCCTTAAACGATAGAGCGTACACTGCAACGTGCCCTGCACAATGGCATCCCTTCTGGGTGATGTCATTGTGGTGCACACGCTGAAGGCATCCCAGACCAATGGAGGGGACCCCCACACACACACTGGCAGCCAGTTAAGACCTGGCAACCCTCCCTGGAAATCTTCCAGAATTATAACATATCTCCTGACTACAAAATAGAGAAAATGGCTGCTTTGGAGGATGGACTGTAGGTGATTATGCCCCAGTGAAATTTCTCCCCTTCCCTAACCCCACCCTCTCCAGGCTCCACCGCCAATTCTCAGGAATTTCCCAACCCAGAGTTGCCAACCCAGTGCATGCACATCCGTTTCGTTTTCTCCACCCTTTATCTTTATTGTAATCTGATTTATTTTATGATGCTTACTATAAAAATTATGGGGCTTTGCTTTGGACTGTTATTAATGCATATTATTCTAACATGAATGCCTTCACTCCATATTACTGTTTTTTATTGTTTGATAACAACTTCGCTGGACCCTTTGTTAGATTTTCTCTTCCTCTAGTTATAGTATAGTTATACAAAGCTTCCCTTTGCTACACTTCACTACAAGGACATTCCACATTATTATAGTTATATATTTTCTCTGTTTGACAATATAAGTTAAAATATACTAGAGAGATATTTGAAAAACTTTCATGAGTTTTTCCTAGCAAATGTCTTTCTTTGTCATACACCTTTATGATAGTCTTTAATGTCCTATTATCAATGTCTGGAAACTGAACTTACTAAAATGCTAGATCTTTCTGTTCTTCAATGTAGATATCACTTTTCATCCTTACAGAATTTCTCCCTTTGAACTCATATAAATATTTTTCATTTCCCCTTATGGTGCCATCCTAAACAGAGTTATACTAAATCCATTGAAATTATTGGGCTTAAAAGGGTGTAATTCTATTTAGGATTGCAGTGTTAAGCATTTACACTCCCAGGAGTTATTCAGAAAGTAGACAAAGTTTGCAGTCCTCCAACTTTGTTCCCTATCAGCTGCTAATTCTGAAGGAATATCTCAGTATAAAGCAGCCCTTCTAATTACAAACATGAAATAAACTGATGTGTACATTTAAAATCATTAAGATTAAGTACTAAATTAAGGGACTAGAAAACCAAGAAGGGGAATATTTTGAAGGGAATATAGCTGTCATAACAACATTTGAACTGATTTATAAATTAAGAGACATTATTCTCATATTTAAGTATGTGTAAACTGTAATAAATAACATTGAACAAATATCATAGAAATTATGTGAATATTCTCTACAATAATTCTGAAACAGCACTGGAGATTTTTAGGCTACAATACATGCCTGCACTATCATAATACATACCTGTGAAAAACAAGTCAGGAAAGTTCAACAAGATATTATAATCAATTATGCTGAAAATACTAGATTGTAAGAAGACTGATGTGAACAACAAAGAAAGAGAAGCACTCAGGATCAGATAGTTTATAACCTGAGGACAGGCAATCTCTGTTGTGTGCAGGAATCAGGAATACTGGGGGAGGGAGATTATTTCATAGTTTCAACCAGCAGAATGAGAGAAAAAAATGACTGGACTATCAGGGTCATTTTAGGCTGTTTGTTTGTTGGCTTGTGGAAATTTGTGAGAAAATCTGGATTTATGACTCTTTTCGTGCTCCATGATGCAAAATATGAAAAAAACCATAGCCATACATTGAGAATATTGTAATATAAATCAAAAGCATTTAGAACGAGTGGATTCCCTCAGTTTCATTCTTTTGAGGGTTCTATCCCACCCCATTCCTGGAATCTTATCAAAGCTCTTCCAGCAAGAATTTCAGTAGAGCAGAACATCAGATGAAGAAAGAGAATGGTTCCCCTCCCCACTTTGGCTATTCCCCTCACCCCGATACTGCAGAGGAAAAATTATGATCCACACAGTTACAAATGGTTCTATAAGTGCTTGGAAGTACATACCTTTGGGCTCAAATTTGTAACCCAAGCACTTTCAGAACCATTTCTAAGTATCAGTGTTGATTCTCAGGCTCAAACCTGTTTGGACTGTTAATCAGAAATTCTTTGGAATGGATTAGATCAGATAAGCAGTCTAAAGAAGTGCCCCCCTGACAGTGAAATTCAATCTCATCTACTTTTGAAATCATCTTTATAATTGTAAATCAGACTTTCATCTCACTTCAGTGATTTTATTTTTAACCATTTGCAAAACAATGAAAACCCCCATAGGTTCTCATATTTATTGTAATTTATTACGTATTAACCACAATGAATGTTCCTACCATTTTAGGTGCCATACAACCCCCTTTCTTAAATAAAAATAAAGCTCCAACATTTCAAGTTATACTCATAATTCTTCTGTTACTTCAATTCTCTACAGGGAAAACGTATTTGATTCTCCTTTTCTACAACTTATGCCATACAGTATCTTTCAAACCCCCCCCCCACACACACACACTCATTTAAATCTTCAAAACATTGATCTGGGTAGTGTTAGTCTATAATAATTTTTTAAAAACCCTCCTTATATAAATATACTTTGGCTGTTCACATGCTTACATGAATTAGTAGAGCACAATAGTATATACACAGTGTCTATGTTACTTTGCTGTGTCACACATTTAGCATCTCCTCTGTGAGGGGAAAAACAACATGGATGGCATATGATTTTTGGCAGCAAAAACATAGTCGGTGAAAGAGTTTAAAAGCTCCCTCCCACACACATACTCCTACATGAATTTTCCACAGCAGATGAAGATTTTATAGCTGCATTAAAACATTCAAACAAACAAAAAAAATGGGGAAGAACTACATATAACTCAGTCTGGCATGCAAGTTGTCCCATAAAGGTCCAACTGCACCCTACTGGCTTTTAAGTCAGCTAAAAGACTGTAAATTTAAAATGAACCCAAAGGATGAATGATTACAACATATTCAACATCAAGGTGAAAATGTACAAAGAATATTGAACGCTATCATTTCATAGGAAGAATCATGAAAAATCATTAAAAGTCTCCATGCTCACAGCAGGGTCAATAAAATGTGACACTTATGTGGAAAAAGGTTGACTCAGACTGATGGCTTGCTTAGTGCTGTGTTATATTTCTAGGAATAGCCAAAAGCCTGGTAGCTCTGGTGACTTTTCTAACTAATTTTAATATAATATTATTATTGGGTTGGATCCAGCCAAAATTTTCGACTCCATCTTGCCCAGTTCTTTTCCACATTACAGATGCTATTTCACATGACATTTGTCCCTGTAGGTCTTATGACCTCCAGAGTAGTCTATTCGGTAGTCAAAGGAGGACTCCTCCTTTTTCCACTAGTAAAAAAGTTGGCTGGATCCAATCCTCTATCCTCTTCATAGTTCATGAGCCAATAGCATTGCAGTTTCTGTCTTCTAGAATACAAACAACAGCATAACAAATGCCTTCTTTTACATTATCAAGTCAGTCCTGTACATGTTGTATTGCCTCATCCACACAATGATGCCTGTATTCTGTACAACATTTGTAAACATCTTGAGCATAAGGCATGCACAGGAAAAGTGGCTGTAGCTCTCCAGATCCTGCTGTGTACCAGGAAACGTCTCAGTTTTTCTTCAGCCTAGATCTGTGAATGTTTGCAGTGTTTGATCATTATGTAAATATTTCAGCATCATTGCATGTGTCACATGAATTCTTCATTTGATGTGTGAGAAAAAGCCTGTCTAATTCAAATGTTTCTACAGGAATGAGATTGCAGTTTACCTGGCTCACCCCACATTTCAGTGTCATACCTGGATACAATGGTATTGCAAAGGAAAAAATGGTGGCTTTGTGCTGGGTTTTGGCAGCTGCAGTTAAGAAGGATATCTCCAACACTCAAAAACTTGGACCCTAATTATCTGTTTCTGGAATGCAGTATTTCCACCTTCCCTGTCCCACAGCAGCCCTCTCCAGAATGCCATGAAATATGGCCTGAGGGCTGCAGGTACAAGGGGGAAATCAATAAAAACCAAGGATGTACAAGTATACCTTTGGTTCCCAATCATTGTTTTAATCAGTTTTACTAGGACTGACATATATAAACCTTAGGATTATTGCTGTGTACCCCAAGCCATCAGGGTGGGGCAGGCTAGAAATATAAACTGACTAGACTCTTGCTCAATTTCCCAGCTGCCAAAGTCAGCAGCCTAGCTTCCCATGTACTAATCCAGGACAAACTTTTTTTGTATTTGTTATACATTGCTGAACCATATTATAAAATCAGGGGGAGGCCTTGCTCCTGATTGCTTTAACTAAAACCATAGACTTCTACAATTCTTGTCAATAGATTTGGAAACAACCAATATCGTTACTGTGAAAAACGAACAAACACCAGCAACCCCCCCAAACTAGTTAACCTAATACTTTTATTTCAAAATTACGAACCTTAATTTATTTGTTCCAGCTTTGTATCTTGAGATTCGAGCCATCGACAAAGGAACAGATAAGGTGTCCAGCCAACGCTTCTCATATTTTGGTTCATTAGCTATGGGTGAAGAAGGTGATGATGGTGCCTGTACAGAATAAATGAGAAATAACCGTCTATTGGATCCAGCAGTGCAAAAAATAATAATAATGCATCTATAGATGTGGGTTTTTTTTTAAAAAGAAAAAGAGTAATACCATTTTTTAGGAAATTCAGAGGACAGGAAGGATATAAAATAATCATTTATTGTAAAAGGGAACATTTATGGTCTGAGTAGATTTCCCATATTGTTTGTGTAATGGCAAATTTGCTTTTAAGTTAAAAGCATAAACCTCATATCTAATTGACAACAGAAATAATGCTTACATACAGCATTTTTCTCTGAAATCATATCTACTTTACAAAAAACACAAGAGGACATTGCCAATTGCAAGACACTGATTTATTTTCTGAATATTTTGATATAAACAACTGTTTAGAACAATGGTCTTCTATGTACATCATCAGTCTAGAACCAGTATGCTATATTTACTTAACTGTAGATTTTAAAAATATACATTTACAATGCATACTATGCAAAAGCAGTTCTCATGTATTTATTGAACAAAAAGCTGTGTAAGTTATTCTAGACATACACAAATATTGGTATTACTAGAAATAATGCCCGTTGTGGAAATAAATACAACGGGATCTAGAAAGAGGCTCTGGGAGAGTGCTCTGGCTTTGGGCAAACAGTGTCAGTTTCCTGTGGCGACCTCAGCAGGGTTTAATGACAGAGTCCACTGTTTTCTCCAGAGGGACTGATCTCTGCTACCTGAAGAGCATTTGTATGTTTGAGTTATCTGTAGCCCTCACCTGGAGAGTGGTAACCATTGTTACCCATTCCCCTCTCCCCTATGAGGTATGTTATGCAACTGAAAATTCCAACTGCCTTGCGTGGGGGGGGGGGGGTTTGAGGTGTGGAATGGACTGAAGTCCAATCAGCTTCCATATGCAAAAGACCAGGTTGTCGCAGCAGTTGTGGTGTGGGCGGGACCCGGGCTTTGCCTTCTGATTGGTGGCGATATATGCTGAGGAGCAGTGCCATCAGCCATACACTAAGGGAGTGCATTTTAGAATTAGAACTTTGGCACCCACTTCCCCACACTTTTAGAAAGATGAGAAGACTTAAACGACAATGATAATGGCATTCTGGTATGACCAGTTTTGATCCCAGAAGACAACTGAATCTATCAATCCCAAAAAGGTCATGGAAAGCAAAGGCCTAATATCCTCCTGCTTCTCCAGTCAAAACATTCATTCAATTAGTAGTTCCAGTTGCTTAAATGGCCACCCCCTTGCAGGTAATGAGTGCATAAATTGCATTGTTTGCTTTGTAGCTGAAGGCGATTAAAAAAAAAAAAACTACAGTGATACCACTATAGCTTGAAGCTGTAAACCACTGCAAAAGGGTTACTGAGTTTGTCAACTAAGAAGCAATTAAGAAATACTCTCTCATTAGCCTGTGAAGAAACACAAGCCACCGAGCGAAAACAAAAGCAAGTCAGCATGCTGCCACAGACAATTTAGAACATAACTTTATTCAGAGCATCAAGGGAAGCAACAGGGTTACAAACAGAAGTTGGAGCATGTATTGACTCACTCATTTACCAGCTATGTTTTTATAGCCATTCAAAAGTTTGCCATTAATGTTGGAAAGTATGACTGAAGAAACGTGGTGCACTGAAAGATTTCAGAGCTCACAAAATTAGGCATCTTTACATTTTACATTAAAATCCCTGCAGTTCATTGTTCTTCACATTGCCACAGGAAAGGAACTGAAAATTGTGTATATGGCAATCAAAACATTTCACTTAGTAAAATAGTAAAGTCCATTTTAAAAGCCTCATAACAAAGAGATGGGCAGAGCAATCCTAAGGGGGTGGTGGTGGCTGAAAATGCTCAGGGCGACAACTGACCTGTGCATTGGTGTATGTCAGAGATACAGCCATGTAAGAGCCAGTTATGACAGTGTGGGCCCCTAGCACCGCTCCAATGCTTGTGGGTGGTTTTGGGAGCATTGCCAGAGTTAGTTGGCTCCCTGAGCCCTTTCAACCTGGGAACATCCTGCCAGAGGTGGAAAGTTACACCAACAAGAAACATGGTGTAGCCCATAGGTGCCGATTGAAGTTGAAAATCAAGACCTCCCCTGCCACTGCAGCCTTGACCATTAGGCTTGGAGAAGCTCAGGATGCCAACTTTAGGCTTAACCAATCACCTCCCTCCCCACGGTGGCAAAGTCCCTTCCCCAGCACCCAATCAAGGCTCACCCATCCTATAAATGCTTCAGGCAGGACATCCTACAACTCATTAATTAGGGCACATGGCACAGGATTCTGTTTCAGAGCTCCCTGCCTTGTGGACTTAGAGAAAGTGGCGAGGCACTTTGTTGGTGGGAGAAGCACAGAAAGGCACTTAGCACCACAGGGTGACACTGATACCCAAGGAGAAAAACAAAGTCCATAGTCTGTGACTGACCTCTTCCATTTCAGAACCCTAACATGCACCCCACCTTTGGAGGCTCATCCCACAGTGGTAACCAGGCACTGACAGGTAAGCAAGGACAAGGATCCCAAACCTGCTCCCCCACTCCCTTCGCTTGAGACTAGGTGCCATGACAGTGTTTCCTGCACTCAAGCCCAGCATTGAGTTCAGGAGTGGGGTGGCACAAGCCATGGCCGTGCAGCTCCATGGCCCCTGATATGCCTTGGGAAAAGTTACTTGGGAAGTTTTCCTGGAGATCGGGGGGGGGGGTTGCTCTGTCATTTGCCAGGTTCCCACCCTTGGCAGAGCACACGGCATGTCTGTGGTTGGGGGGGGGGGGGTGCGG